CTGCAATAAATTACAGGTAGTAAGAAAATAAACTACCAACTCTTTTACGCTGCGTCCACACCTACACGGGTGATTTTGAACACGCAGCTGTTTCGTCCATGTAAACGGCGTTTGTGTGTGGATGAGGAATACAGAGTTCATCAGGCAACGTCAAAGGTATGTGCCTTTTTTCACGTCACGCTGTGGCCACGTTATTGTTTACATGAGAGGAATGTCAGATAGTCAGATCAACAGTATTTTGTCTCTATCTGCAGGTTTTACACGCAGTTACTGTCCCTCCATTTACAAAGGCAGAGGCGTCACGGTGTCATTATTTTACGTGTAGTTGTTTTTTTTCCTGTGTAATAATATTCAACATTACTATCAATACATTTTTCTCTCTGTGCAAAATGTGTTCAATAACATAAACAGCTGTGGGATCCTGTTTGTCTGTGATTTGAACGAGGGAACAAATCGTGTCAGGATCAGCCTGATGTTATTTGTATCCTGTAACTTTACTGTATAAAGAGCAAACATCTCCAACATGTCAGGAGTAGTTAGTCATTACAACAAGTGTTTGAACTAAACATCAAGAATGTGGGATCCTGTTTGTCTGTGGTTTAAACAGCCCAGCGCTGCTCCCGGTGAAGGGAGACCAATCCTGCAGGGAGACCTACCTCAGCACTTGTGCAGGTGAAACCAAAGGGAAGATTTGCTTCACCATATTTTTTAGTCTTTGGCTCAGAATGAAGTTGGTTTGGAAACATATTCAGCGATGCTTCATCTCCTGCTTTGCATTTCTGTGGGCGCCCCGTGCTAGCAGTGTCTGAGCATTGTTTTTCTTTTGTTTTTTCAAGCCGCGCCCCGCCCCCCTGCAATGGCTCTGCGCCCCCCCTAGGGGGCGGGCCCCACACTTTGGGAAGGTCTGAGCTACCCAAACATACAACGCTGACTGTAAAATAACCAAACGGAGCAATAAAACAATGGAAATGATCACAGCCCATGAACTGTGTGTGTGCGCAGTGTTTGCACTCACGTGAAACAGAAGAAGAGCGTGGTGGAGCCGACGAGGAAGAACGCTGCTGCTGACACAGGAACGTAGCGTGAAGGTCGCAGGGGTCTGCTGGACGGGACTACAGCATGAGGGAGGGGGGACGAGGATGGACCCCGCCCTCCGCTCTTACTACTACTGCCTGGCATCACTTCCTGTTAGTAGTGATGTGTGTCCACTAACTGCTATCCAAAGTCATTTATCATCAGCCTTAAACGTTCCCTTACGTGTACAGAGTGGGTTTGGTGTGCAGGGACTGTCGAGAATAGTTGGTTTCACTTCTGAGATGGAAAAGAGAAAAATGCTTTACTGCACGCTGATGGGAGGAGGGGTGGATGCTTGTTATCTCAGGTTCTTAGGTCAATCCTGATCAACTGTGACAGATTAAAATAAGCTTACAGATCTGTGCTGTAAAAGCCTCGTTTCCCCGTCTGCCTTAAAAAAAAAAAAAAAACAGGTGGGAAAACAGGCTGCACAAATAAGCCACTGAACGTAAAGAGGAAGGTGCCTGATCCCCCGTGTGCCACGAGCAAATACACTAAAGTTTTATTCTGTTTATTCCAACGTGTCAGTCAAGTATGAACACGACAGAAGGCGGTCTTTCCCAAAGGTCCCAGAACAATTGGTCCGCAAACGTCAACAAAACAAAAACAAAAAAAAATTGGCAAAATGATAAGAGTACAGTTTTAAATGGAGAAGGGCTAATTGTGAAAAACAAAAACTATTTAGTACTTTGGTGCTGTGAAAAAACTCAAATTGTAACAGAACCTCGCAGCCTGATTGGTCCTCAAACAGGAGAAGGGTGAGCGCAGAGGTGGAGCTGTTTGTGTAGCAAGCAGTGAGAAATGTGATGAGGCTTAAAAAGAAAGAAAAA